TGGATTCACTGGCTTCCTTTAATCCCCAGCTAAAATCCAACTGTCTATAAGATGCCTTTTGCAATCTTCTTTAACACTAATTCCTTCCTCGGTGGATGATAAGATTATCCTGTATAGATCTTGCTTATACATAGTTGTTTTCATGTTGTCTCTCCCATTAGAATGAGTTCTTCAAGAGCAGGGATGGTCTTTTGCCTTTTTTTGTATCCTCAGTGCTTAGCACAGCACCTAGCACACAGTAGGTGCTTAATAAATATTTGTTGACTAAAATGCTAAGACCAGAAGAATCTCAATCATGAAATACAAAATTACATATCTGTCTGTCGATCTATCTATCTATCTACATGTGGCTAAAACCAATTCATAATGAACAGTCCTTTTTCCATTGAAATTTATGAATATTGTTCATAGGATCAAAGATATAGAGCTGGGAACAGACCTCAGAAGCTATCTGGTCCAAATCCCACAGATGAAGAAACTGAGGCCTATGGGGGTTAAATGACTCACAAAAAGTCACACAGGTAGTTCTTTTACTTGTAGTCAAAGAAACCATTTGCAGAGTCTGCTACAGTGTGTCATTCTGTTCTTTACCCTTCACAGTAAGCCTTAGTAAGCTTATTACTGAAATTTGTTGCTGCTTCATTTCTAGCAGTCTACAGCTACATCAAAAGGTTTTAAATCTTCTGGTATTTCAATCATAATGAATTTTTCTACCTTTATTTTTATTGTTTATTCTCTTTGAAGTATTCTGGTATGTTCTATTCTCTGCATACACTGACCTGGCTCTACCACTTACTGTGTGACTTTGAGGAAGTCACCTCATCTCTATAGGTCTCAGTTCCACCATCTGTAAAATAAGGAGGTTTCACAATTATATAATGCTATAATTCTATGTCCTGGAGTAAGAATCAACAAGAAATAGAGATCAATTAAATTTGAAGGGAGAGGATGGAGTTGAGAATGACTCGAAGGTTGCAAACACAGTTTACTGGAAGAATAGTGAAGAAATATAGGAACAAAAGGTTTTCAAAAAAAATGCAAGCTATCAATAACCATATAAAGAATGGTCCAATAATATAAGAAATGGAAATTAAAACAAGTGAGGTCTTATCTCATAGCCAAGAGATAGGCAAAGATGACGAATGATGAAAATCACAATTGTTGGAGAAGCTATGGAAGGAGAGGCACACTAATGCACTGTTGGCAAAACTCTAAATTGGTCTAACACCTAGAAAACAATTTGGAACCATACATAAAAAGTCAAATTCTTCATGTCCTTTGATCCAGCAATAACTATAACACACATATACTCCCAAAAGGTCAAGACAGAGGGAAAGTACCCATATGTACAAAAATATTTAGAGAAGGCCTTTTTGTGGTAGCAAAAGACTGGAGAATCGGAGACTGGAGAACGGCCAAACAAATACTGGTATGTGAATATAATGGAATGTTATTCATCAGAAGACAGATATGAAGAGAAACTTGGGAGTATTTTTATGAACTGATGTATAATGTAAAGAACAAAACCAGAAAAAAATTTATGCAAAAACCACAACAATGCAAAAGAAAACAACTTTGAAAGACTTCAGAATCTGAAACCAATCATAATTTCAGAAAACAGAAAAACAACGAAATACAGATTTTCTTTTTCTTTAATTTTTCTTCATCATGAAGTAGAAAATCATGAACAAAGACGGCTACACAAGTGTTTGTATGTGGACATCAACACGTAAATTGAAACCCCAAATTACAAGGGCAGGGTCTGGTGAAAGGAATACTATAAGCCAAGTACTAAATTCATTGAAAAAGGAGGGACCTCATGGGGGCAGAAGAAAACAGTCACAAGCATCTGGGTAGAACGATATATCTGGATTCAATGAATGTCAAAATAGATCGATTAGAGGCTGCTTGCTGAATAATGGTGGCAGGAGGAGAATAGAGTATGGAGCAAGAAATATACCTTTTCCTCTTCCTGCCCAGAGTGTTGGGGAAAGAAGGGGTAGAAGTGAAGGTATATCACATAAAACAGAGAACAACAAGGGATACACTATTATCTGGGAGAAGTAAGGTTTTATGGATTGCAAGGATATGAGAAGAACAAGAGATGAACAGGTCTAATAGGAAGGGCAATTTGTTGATAATAGAACAGGGGGTGACTACCCCTGGTAGTCAGTTGGCCAATAAATATAAAAATTCCTACTATGTGCTAGGTACTGTGCTAAGCACTGGGGATACAAAGAAAGGCAAAAGATAGTCTCTCCTCTATGAGGAGCTCACATGGAGGAGAAAACATGCAAAAAAAGTATGTACAAATAAGTTAAAGACAGGATAAATTAGAAATAATCAACAAGGGGAAGGCACTCTAGTGCCTTAATTCTAATTAAGGGGGCTTGGGAAAGGCTTCCTGTAAAAACTGGGATTTTAGCTGGGATGCAAAGGTAGCCAGCATAGACAAGACGTAGAGATGAGGAGGGAGAATGTTCCAGGCAGTGAAAGACAATGAAAATGCGTGTAGTCAGGAGACAGGGTATCTTGTTTAAGGAACAGAAAGGAGGCAGGTGTCACTGGGTCGAAGAGTATGTGAAGTATGGGTGAGGGGCTGTTATAAAGGGTTTTGAATACCAAACAGTGAATTTTACATTTGATCCTGGAGATAACAGGGAGCTACAGGAGTTTATTGACGGGGGGAGAGACATGGTCAGGTCTGTGTTTTAGGAAGATCACTTTAACAGCTGAGTGGAGGATGGAATGGAGTGGGAAGAAACTTGTAGCAGGCAGACTAACCAGTAGACTATTACAATAGCCTAGGTGTGAAGTGACAAAGGACTGTACCAGGGTGCTGGTGTGAGTGGAAGAAGAAAGGAAGAAGTATATTTTGGTGATGTTGCAAGGGTAAAATCAACAGGCCGAAGCAACAGATTGGATATAGAGTTGAGAAAGCAAGGACTGAAGGATGACATCTATGTTATGAGCCAGAAATAAGGAAGTTAGGAAGAGGAAATGGTTTCGGGGGTGGGGGGAATGATGAGTTCAGTTTTGGACATGATGAGTTTAAGTGTTTGGGATGTCCTATAGACAGCTGGAGATGTGAGTCTGGAAGTTGTAACTCTAGAGATGGGAGCAGAGAGGTTAGGTCCTGGAAAGACCTGAGGGATGGAGAGACTGGAGGTCACAGCGTAGATGAAGAACAGAGTTCGGGGTTGCAAGGCAGAGAGAAAGGGGTGGAATGACAATAGACTGTGATCACATAAAGTAATTTCAGAGTTCATGAACATGGAAGTGGTGCACTTGTGAGTGATGGCAAGATGAACATCTTTGTGTGTGGCTGAGGAGTAGATCATATGAAAAGAGTAAGCTGAGAAACTGTGAGGTAAGGGTGTTTGAGGGAGTATTATTATGTATGTTGAAATCTATAAGTATGATGGCAAGAGCTGAAGAGAAAGCCTGTAAGCCAGACACTGAACTCACTGAAGAAGAAAGAGGAAATGTCTTAGAGATCTACAGACAACAGCTACCAGGATTTTGAATGGGTGGCAGATGCAGATTGTAAAGACCTCAAAGGGAGGATGGTGGTAGGTGGAGAACCTGAATTTGACAATGACGGGGGAAGGAGTATTTCAACATCTCCACTTCAACTAGTGAGTTGGAAGGAATGAGTGAAAGTACAGCCAGCGCTGAAATGAGTAGCTTATATCTAGGTCTCCCACAGCTAGATAATGGAAGGAGTGGGAAAAGAAAAGATTTAAGTTTACTGCTTATGGAGCAGGCATTCCAGAGTACACAGTTGAAAGCATGAGCTTTGAAGCAAGACAATGGAAGGTGTGGAGAGTATGGGTTGAGGTGGATGGAAATAAGAGATTAGGCAGTTGGGGATGAAGAATAAAGTTCGAATGATAAGAGTTGGGATTCAGAATCACTAGAATGGGAAAATGAGCAGGGAAGAGTTTATTGTCATTGAAAAATAAGTTCAGGTATGTTTTCACTGTCCATAGTGGTTTGGCCTCAGGCTAGAGTTCTCTCAGGGTCTTAAACTGTTGAGTAGATGGAACAATGGAAAGGTAGGACAGAGTAGGACAAGCACACAAAAGGTTGTGGCTAACATGGCTAAGTATATAGGCTCTAGAAAAGCCTTGATTACCAATGCCTGGACTATTGTAGTAGCTTCAATAAGTTTTCAAAGCATATGAAGAATAATTTTCACTGTGCATTAATCTGGTAAAAATAAACAAAACTCCACAAACTCTACACTGCCTTCCACAGTTTAAAATCTTTTTCCAGGCATTCAAAGCACTATACAGATGGTCACCACGTTACTTTTCCAACTTAACTGGGTCCCACTAACATGCGGTTTTCTTGCCATTTTGCTATGACTACTAGAATATCCTCTTTCCCTTATTTACCTGTTGAATTTCTATCTATCCTTTAAAGCCCAATTCAAAACTAAAGGAAGCTTTCAATCAACAAATATTTATTAAGTATCCACTATATGCCAGGCACTGTGCTAGGTAGGTGGTAGTGATACAAAGACAAGAGACAGTGGTCCTTGAGGAGCTTATATCACATCTGGAGAGACAACAAATACATATATAAGTATACTGAAAATAAATACATAAATACAGGATAGAAGGGGGCACATGCCAGATCTCTGATCTTTTTAGAAATAATCTTTGCCTTCAATCTTTCCCTCAGTACTTTGTTTTGCAGCTCTCTAGTGAAGCTATCATTTAACATATACTGCAGTTATCTGTGGTTTATCTTATCCCCTGACTATATTAGAACCTTGATGAAGGCAAGAACAACATTTTATCTAAATTTTTTGCCTCACTCAAGGTCTACCACAGCTTTCTTTGATGCAAACAATCTTATTTGGTAACAAATATTACATAAAAACAGTTTTAGAATCAGTTTTATAGTATCCTGGTCACTGTTTTTTTTTTAAAAAAAGACTAATAAAAACAGTCATCATAATTATTTGCATATGACTCAAGATGCATACATACCTAAGAAATCTGTGAATGTAGTAACCCAAAGTTTGATCTGGCAATCTTGACCACATGATGCCATTCGGAAAAACTGGGGGCCATGCTCACCATCTGGTAAAATTAAGTATTTCAAATGAATCAAAATTAATGAAACAGATTAATGATCTAAGAAAACAGATTTTTTTTTTCATACTGAGATCTGATAATATCCCTATTCAAGCATTTTTCCTAAGTAGTATTCATTTACCTTGTTCCTCTAATATCAGAAAAAAAGATGATTTTATGAAGTTTACTACTGTTACACATCTTTTTGTGGACTCCAAAAATGATCAATTACATTCTTGCATGGGCATAGCTCCAGGTCCTGCCTACAAGTGATAGAATATTTGTGTATCTGCTCTCATGTGGTAAGGAAGAAAAGACATCAGACAGTGAGAAAAGGAGAAGAAAGGGAAGATTGAACCTGGACAGGGAAGACTAGTGTTTTTAACATTGGGAAGAAGCTAGTACAGAGGATGGATTGAATAGAGAATAAGATTTGTTGGAACAACACCTTGTTCGAGGTAGGAAAGAACGGGATCGATGGTTCAGGAAAAAGAGTTAGCCTTAACAAGGAATAGAGATGAATCTCTTATAACAAGAAGGTAAAAGGATATTATAATTTTTTAAGGAATAAAGAGAGTTGAAAGACCTCTCATGTCAGTTGCCCTCAATCATCTTAGTAAAGTAAAATCCTATGTAGAGATATGTGGGTATGACTGAGGACTAGTTTAAAAAGGATAATTTTTGATGCAATCACCATGGGGAATGATTTAGGGAATTGAAAGAGTGTATAAAGTAGAAGAATTGTTGGCTGAACTGAGATTATGCACCATAAATCTGTAATGGATGAGTCAGTTCAATTTCATTACTGTATTCCAAGGATGAGGATTTTAAAGTCGGAAACTTATGTAAGATGGTTAAGAAGGCAACGAATTCCAAGGTTGTAGCTAGTGGAAAACTAGTGAGGTAGAGCATGAAGTCAAGGTTGAGATAATGAAACCAAGAATGGGAGAGATGGAGTAGGAGAAGAGGAATGGGACAAAACATTCTTTTTTTTCCCCTACTTAATAGTATTTTATTTTTTCCAATGATACTTAAAGAAAGTTTTCAATATTTAATTTATAAGATCTTGAATCCCAATTTTTTTTTCTCGCTCCCTTCCTCCCCTTCCCAAGATGGCAAGCAGTCTGATATAGGCTATACATGTAAAATCATATTAAACATATTTCTACATTAGTCATGTTGTGAAAGAAGAATCAAAACAAAAGGAAAAAAACCAGGAGAAATAAGAAACAAAGAACAAAAAAGAGAAAATAGTATGCTCTGATCAGCATTCAGACTCTGTAGTTTTCTGGATGTGGATAGCATTTTCTACCATGCGTCTTTTGGGATTGTCTTAGATCACTGTATTGCTGAGAAGAGCTAAGTCTATCATAGTTGATTATCATACAGTGTTACTGTTATTGTGTACAATGTTTTCCTAGTTCTGCTCATTTCACTCAGCATCAGTTCATGTAAGTCCAGGTTTTTCTGAAGTCCACTTGATCATCATTTCTTATGGAACAATAGTATTCCACTACATTCACATATCAAAACTTGTTCAACCATTCCCCAATTGGTAGGCATCCCCTCAAATTCCAATTCTTTCCTACCACAGAAAGAGCTGCTATAAATATTTTTGTACATGTGGGTCCTATTCCATTTTCTATGATCTTTTTGGGATACAGACTTAGTAGCAGTATTGCTGGATCAAAGGGTATGCACAGCAAAACAGGCATTCTTGATAAAATGAAAATCATCCATTCTTTTAATTACTCTTTTTCATTCTACATTAAAAATAATTTCCTGTAAAAGGCATTTAAAATAAAACTCTACTTACCAAAGCCTTGATTCACAAAGAATAATGACCTAAGCTGCTTTTCCTAATATTATAAAAACTCTTGGTCAAGGCTGTAACTGTTTCTGCTTCTTGTTCTTAAGAACAGCCAACCAGTGGAACTGTCCCAAATCTTTTCTACAAATCCCCAAATCTATTTTTCCTTTTCCCACTCTTGGATAAATGATCAAGCCTACTTTGCTAAGACAGAGGTCAAACATAAAATTCTCTTGTATTCTCTACAATTCACTCTTTTTTCTCTGTATCTTTTCCCCTTGTTGTCTGAGAAAGAAGTGTCTTTCCTGTTTCTAAAGCTGTCTCCATTTGCGAGCAATCAAATTCTTACTCCTCTTTTATTATCTCCTCTAGTATATCCAATCTCTTCCTCCTCACAGGTTTCTCTACTTTCACTTCAAACATTATTGCTCCATTCCAAGAATCTTCATTTGGATAAGCAAGCAAATTTCAAAAAACCTGGAAAGACTTATAAGAACTGATGCTGAGTGAAATGAGCAGAACCAGGAGAATATTGTACACAGTAACAAACAGTTGTGTGATGACTGACTTTGATAGACTTAGCTCTTCCCAGCAATGCAAGGATCTAAGACAACTATAAAAAACTCACGATGGAAAATGCTATCCACATCCAGAGAAAGAACTCTGATTCTGAATGCAGACAGAATCATACTATTTGCATCCTTTTCTTTTGTTGTTTTGTTTCTTCTTTCTCATGGTTCATCCTATTAAATTGCAATTCTTCTTTACATCATGACTAATGTGAAAATATATTTATCATGAATGCTTAAGTTGAACCTATATCAGATTGCACACCGTCTTGGGGAGGGGGGAGGATAAGGAGAGGGAGAAAATTTAAAACTCAAAATCTTATGGAAGTGAATGTTGAAAACTAAAAATGAATTAATTAAAAAAAAAAAGAATCTTCATTTGAACCTGTCTCCTTTAGCTCCCATATTTCTTGAATACAATTACCATAATGTCTCCATTTCCTCACTTCACATTTTTCTCTTACCATCAATGTGATATTAGGGTAACCACTCTCTCATAACACAACAATTACAAAGCCACCAAATCCAGTGGCCTATTCCTAGTCCTGGGGAGCATCTCTTACTAACCATTCCTTTCTTCAGCATCTATGGTACTACACTTTCCTGGTTCTTGTTTATTTCTTTCCTCCTGTGTGTATTCAAAGCTTACTCTCAAATTTCTAGTCTTTTTTCCAAACTCTAGCCCTAGAAAACAAATTTATCTACTTTCATAGTTTTAATTATCCATTGTATGTGACTCTCACATTTTTGTCTTTCACTATCTAATCTCTTAACTGAACTGTTGTCCTCTATTTGCCATTGCGTGAGCTTTTTTGCGTGAATGTCCCACTATTATAATCATAACAACAGTTGCTATTTATATCATTACCTTAAAGATGGCAAAAAGTTATAGATATTATCTAAAGATATCCTGCCGTTTACAATATCCTTATGAGGTAGGTAGAATAGGCACAGAAACTCAGGTTTAAAGGTGTTAAGTGATTTGTGATCATATAACTAGTGTCAAAGGCAGGATTCAAAATCAGAGCTTATGCTTTTTCAACTCCAACACTATGTTACATATTGTATTAAAAAATTCTTTGAAAATCTCTCATAAATCAACTTTACTACTGCCCATTACTACCATCATTTAATACTATTATAATAGTCACAATCTCTGAGCCAAACTAGTGAAAACATCACTTTCTTTATAACACTACCTTGTCTAAAAAACTCTAAATGGCTTTTCACTGCCTAAAGGACAAAGTCCAAACTAATCCCCTCTACTTGGATTTCAAGGTTCTCTACTATCTGGCCTTACCTACCTATAATTCAACCTTATATTCTTTTTTTTTTCCAGCCAAAGACAAGGTTTATTAGAACATCTGTCATACTGGGCAGACTCTGAAGGAGTTTGAACATTAGTGAGCTATTGGCTAGATTGTAAATCTGAGCGGTGGCTAGATTTTAAGAATCTAAGCCTTAACCTTATATTCTTCAAATACCATAAACGTGAAAATTCTCATAAATCACAGAATACCAGACCAAGCTTGTCTACTCTTTGTTCCCCGAACACTCTATATAGTCATTCTCACTTTCCTTTTCTTTTTCTTCCTCATGCTATTCTCCTTATCTAGAACTGATTCTTCCATAGTCTTTCCTAATGCAAATAACAGAGTAGCCATTTATAAACATTTATTGAATTTCTTCTTTTTTTTTTGGCTAGGCAATGGGGTTAAGTGACATGCCCAAGGTCACACGGCTAGTAAGTGTTAAGCGTCTGAGGCCAGATTTGAAATCAGGTCCTCCTGACTCCAGGGCCAGTGCTCTATCCACTGTACCACCTAGCTGCCCCAATAGAATTTCTTAAAAAATAAATTCCCTTTATCACAAACAAAATTAAATGTTGAAATATGAGGCATTGTATTTTTATGTTATCTTATTGTTTGGGAATAGAACATAACATTTCTTAAATACAACTCACTAAAATGCAATTGATTATTATTCAATGGAGGGCTTTGGAATGTGTTTAAAGTTACATTTGAATATGAATGTGTTAGACAGTCTAAGCATTTATAATATTTGACGCAAAATAATGAGGCCACATTGTGAAAATTTTATTAAGGCAGAAGAGTTACGAAGTTGTGTGGTTTTTTGACATTTTCCCAGTTCAGCTCTTCCTAGATTTCTTACTCCATGCTATCAACGGGCAATAAAACTTTTCAGAATACTAAAACAAAGCAAGAAATGGAAAGTATCATGGGAAAGAGGTAAGAACTAAGTGTTTTAATTTCATAATTATATAAGGAAGTTGAAAGCAAGATTTGTTAGGGATAATCCAGCTGTAATATGGATAATCCCTCTCAAAGATAATCACAAATTGATTATAAGAAGGTGTAATGGCTTAGTTTAAATACTTTAGACTTTTTATCTATGGGTCTTGAATAAAATGTAGCTATGCCTTTGTAACTGATTCTAACTAAATAAATTATGATCAAGAGGTGATTTTAAATCACTTGTGGAAACAGAAATACTCAATAGAATTTATTTATTGAGAAGGTTATATTCAACCAATTAGCTAGATAAATGAACGATAAATCTGTACAGAAAAAATTTTAGAATTTAAGACTATATTCTTGACTTTTGAG